GGGCTCTACTTATATACTGAAAATGAATTAATTGTTTGAAATCTGGTCCTTTGTATTTATAAAACATTTATTTACTTTTCGATAGGCAATTTTAAGGGTACCTTTTAAAAATTTGTGCAACCTAGGGTCAGGGGTTTATGTCAGAGTGTTAGGGGCACTACTGATTATTGATGAATTACTGATTAGTTGGAGTGCATTTTTTTTCCCCCTACCCTGCGTATGGGTATTCAGTAACCAAGCTAAGCAACTGCTAAGTTTATTGTTATGATGATCAATGGTGCCCTTTCAAAATTGTGAATGCCCTATAGCATCTGGCTTAAAACATGAATCAAACTCAATACACTGTAACTGGAAAGTTGTTGCATAATGCTCAGGTGACCTATAAGGCCCGTGGGCCTCTTGTTAAAATTTTAAGATAATTCCTGAATGTCCAAAACCTGTAAATAGTAACCTTGTATTTACATAAAACAGGGGAAACCTCATGTCTTATTAAAAAAAATTGTGTATTTAAAAAAAGGCATGTTTTATAAAATGCAAGCCTTCAGTGAATACAAATATCACCCAGGGTTGACCTCAACTTCAAATCAAACAACAGTTGCAGACAAAGGTGTTCATTAATCTTCATGTGACAGATAAAGATAAGCCTATAAATTTACTGCAGCAAGCATGATAATTAATACCAGGGGATTAATTGTACTGCTTCTCATCCTTTTCTTCTAAATTTACAATAAGAACTTTTTTCAGCACTGACAGAATGGGTTATTATCTGATTACCTGTTAAAATTAATAATAATAGGGAAAAAGAAACCGAACGAAAACAATAAGGTCTTTGAAAGCGGAAGACCTTGATAATAATAAGAAGAAGAAACAGAGTAAAAACAATATGTTCCCCAACTTCGTTTGGGGAACATAATAAGAAACAGAGTAAAAACAATATTTTCCCCAACTTCGTTTGGGGAACAAAATTACCGAACACTGTGCTGAAGTAGTTAAATCATCGTATTGTCTGAAAAAACAGAATAAAGTCGATAAGCAGCTCATCCCATCTTACATTTAGCCAATTGCAAAGTTTAAATAAACATGTATATCAATTTGGAATTTTTTAATGTACTTTAGTTATTTGAAAAAAAAATTGAAAGTTTTGAGATCTCCGCTTTGGGTTTTTCTTAGTGGATTGAAAACCATTATTTATGGCGTGTTATGTCAAATATAAACACCCTATCATAATACTGTCATTCAAAAATAATAACACTGAACCAACGTTTTTTTAGCTCTACTGGCCAGAGACCAGAAGAGCTTATGCAATAGTTAGATGTCCGTCGTCCGTCCGTCTGTCTGTTTAACAATTTTTTTTTCAAAAAGCTACTCCTCCTACACTATTGGTCTGATTTTAATATAACTTGACACACAAGTAGACTACACTAAGATACATGAAACAGTGCATCGGTTTTGATTTCGATGAATGGTGTTGCCATGGTTACTAAAAATAGAATTTTCTGTGTAATTCCTGTAAAACGCTACTCCCTCTACAATTTGGACTGATTTCAATAAAACTTTGCAAACAAGTAGTCTACACTAAGATACATAAAATAGTGCATCGGTTTTTGATTTCGATGAACAGTGTTGCCATGGCTACTAAAAATAGAAATATCTGAAATGACCTTAAAACGCTACTCCTTCTACAGTTTTGGTCTGGTGGCAATGGAGTCTTTTCCCATCTTTTGTTTAAAAATACAAACCAGTAGAGCTACAGTCTCGACAGAGACTTCTGGTTTTTTTTTAATCAAATATCGGAGCCCACGTGTCTTTAGAAGGTCACATGATGTCAAAAAAATTCCGATGTGAATAGCGATGGACATACTCTTCAAGAAAAGATAAAGCTTTTTTTTAAATACAGTGTCGTGCTCGAAAATAAAACACACAGGATGAAACTCCACCATTCAGTCGACTGAATGGTGGCTGGATGGTCACTGAAAGGTCATTGAAAAGATCCTTTCCCGTGACCTTTCCGTGATCATTCAGTTACCATTCAGTCGACTGAATGGCACATACATTTCAGTGACCTTTTCCCTGATCATTCAGTTAAATCTCTTTATTGAATAATCGGCTTATTTTTTTACCTAAAAATTTTATTTCACTTTTTCCTGGTATAATAGCATTAAATTAATCTAATTCCGAATAAAAAAAAATAAGAGAAAAATTAATGCAGAAAAAAAAATTGGACCCATGCCCAGAATCGAACCCTGGTCTTCTGTTTAAGTGTGCGACCTTTTTTTTTTTATCTTTTTATCAATTACGCTACGACTTCTTGTTGTAAATAATGGATTTAAAATCAATTAATTTGTAGAAATCGATGGAACAATTAGTTCACCTGTTGTATCGAGGAGCTGCGATGTGTATATATCTTTTTATATTTTTGTATATTCTATGTTAGTTACGCGGACATTAGGGACCCACTAATTAATTACACATCTCCTATCGGGATGTTGACAATTATCAGAGACGGGCACCTGTTTCTGTGTCAAAGATTTAAGATCGTTGTAAATTCTCTATCTAGAAACTTTAGTAAAATGATTTTATTAAAGCTATATCATTTAGAAAGCTAAAATCTCCTATATATTTTTTTCTACAAGAGGCATGTATAAACGATTTATTTATTCTTGTAATTAAAAATGAATTTAAAATAATGACTTTCAAAAACTAAATATCGTCAGTGATTTCAATTATAGATAAGTTATTTTTGGTACAGCTGTCTTTAGAGTCCTTGAGGAAATTTATTCTGTCAGACTGATTTTTCATTTCATTGATGACGTACGTATTGTCATTGCCTGCTTTATAATTTTTCAGTACGATACGATAGAGAAGATCCTAGAGAGAGAAGAGAAGCTAAATGATTTAGTGGAGAAATCTGAGGGACTCAGCATGCAGTCTAAAGCTTTTTATAAAACAGTAAGTCTGCTTATGCACAAATTGATTCATGCACAGTGTTTTCCCAAAGAACCGGCTACCGGCCAAATTGACCGCTTCAATTGACAAAAATGCCACTTTGAAATAAAAATTTGTTGCAATGTCCACAGAGTTTCTGTGTATAAACCTCAGCCCTTGGCCTGTTACAATTGATCTCTAACCCTTTACTTTGAAATAAAAGGGAAAACACTGCATGCAGAACATCATTCTGTTCTATGTAGAACCTGCATATAAAATTCAGTACAAAAAATACATGTATGGATTTTTTAAAAAATCAAAAGAAGAAGAACTAAGTGACTGAATCATTAGATTTCTTTTTTGCTCAGCGGCATCAAACTTACCTGAAGAGGTCTCACATTCCTGGTACATGTAGAGTATGATAAAAATAAACTTAGTGAAAAGTTCTTCTGTTTCATTATTTGTCATGAAATGCCAGGAATTTCTTTATTCAAGTGCATAAAAAGTCTAGACAATTTAAAACAAAAAATAAAATAGGAGCTAGAATTGGCAAGAAAAAAAAAACAACTTTCAATAGTTATGTTACCTTTATACTTCTAGTGTTTTATTTTCTTTTTCAGGCAAGGAAGACTAACTCCTGTTGTGTTATCTTATGAGTGTAATGATGTACTATATGCGTTGTATTTATTAAGAAGGGAAGTCAGCAAGAAAAAGGTGCAACTGATGTTGAGATTTCTAAGATGGACCAATTTTTTTATCCTCTTCAATTTTTAATGCTTGTCCAAGTGCAATCATGTGTTTGTCAAACATGTATTTATTTTCACATTGAAAATATGACAAGGTGTGATGTTTAAGTTTGAGTGTAAATGAGGAATATTTAATTAGAAAAAAGAAATAGTTGTATTGTAAGGCATTATTTTATTTTAAGACTTGAAAGTGACCCACAGAGTGAATATGTCATATCTTTGAACTGTGTCTCGATTTTAAATAGAATGGTTCAATCTTAGCTCCTATTTGAAGTGCATTAAAAAATGTTTTTTAATGCTCTGTAAAATTCACTTAGTGTCACTGTTGATCCCATTTAATAGTTTTATATAGCATTGTGTATTGGTTTATTTAGAAAAGAATTTTTTAAATTCTTTTCTGTATCATCAAATGTGAATATTGGTTCAGTCCAAATTTATGTTACTTAACTCAAGGATTTTTTTTTTTTTTTTTTTTTGGAAAGAGAAATTGCAGATTTCCATGCTGACAATCTTATTTACCCTTTTCATGATTTGTTATATCTACACATCTGAATGATAGCTTTGAATACCATATTTATCTACAATACACTCACGTATCTTCATTGAAGAGTATTTTCATTGTGAATTTAGAACACATGCTCTATTTGTAAATAAGATAATATCCTCAACATGCCAAACACTGTTATTTTATGGTAGCTGTAATTCTTGACAAGTAAAGTTCATGTACAAGGTGCTTTTTTGTCATGATATATTTTTGCTTTGCATGGTATTTTTATATAGAATTTTATGAATATGCCTTTACCACTATTTCTTTAAGGTGTTCTAATGCTCTGAAAATGCATCTTTACATTGTCATCAATTAACGTTTGTATTTTTTCACTGATTTTATTGATTACTATGACTTTTAAAATATTGTAATTTTATGTTGTTGGTAAGACAGGAGATAGAGTTTAAACAAGTTTGATTTTCTATTTTCTCTCTACTTTCTTTCCTGTAGTTCCGGCATTGAGGAATGCAGTTACATGTATGTATCGTATTAAGAGAGGGGAAATTTCTCCACTTTCCTAAACTATCAAGAAATTTAATTCTCAATATTTATCCACAATGAGGTGACACATTCCACTTTTTCACCTTAAATAATGAAATATTTGATCATACCTAGTCAAAGAAGATCATTTCAACCCTTGTGTTGTGTGGAGGTAGTGTTGCATATATGTTTGTAATGGTGTGCAAAGTTGAATGTTGTTTCTAAATCTATTTAAAGAATAATATTTTAATGATCAGTTTATAAGCAATTTGCTTCTATCCATTCTCCAACAAAATTTCAACATTCACACAATGCCAGTATCCCACAGTATTTTCTTTCCATTTTTAGTTGTAGACAATAACTTGTAAAGGGTTGTCACAGTTAATGATTTTAAACTGAACTGTGACACGTATTGTTTGAATTGGGTGATGAAACAATTTGTTTATATGTAAATATAATAAAAATATATGTGAATGTAAAATTGAATGAATGTAAGAAACAAGAATAAAATATGGAGTACATTGTAAAATAGTTACATGTATTTGTATTTTATTTACATAACAATTACAGTATTTGTGGAGAATATATAATGATTAACATGGGCATATTGTCCTCCTTGTGGGTATTTTCAAGGATGTAACCTTCAAGGGTAAATATTTCTGGCAATATTATTGTGTCTGGTTCTATATATTATTGTGTTCCTGCATCAAAATGAAAGGGATCTTGAGTAATATTGATTTATATTTCTCTGTATTTGATCCATGACATTATTTTAGTATGCAAAAAAAATTAGGAACCTTTCAACCTACAAAATTTACATTACAGTGTATAATGGAGGGTAAAAAGTGTTGACAGGGGATGCTTACTCCTCCATGGCACCTGATCCCACCTGTGATATTTTAAGAGATCCATGTTTGCTGTGCTCAAGAATTGTACTTTTCATTAGACCTGGGCTAGATTACTGTTCATTATATCTTTTGATCATTTTAAAATTTTGGTCTGATCTTTTCCATAACATTCGTTTGAATAAATGATGTGACACTTAAACTTATATTCACTAACACTGACAGAAGATAGTTGAAGAAATGTTGAAGTTGAAGAAAGTTAGTTAGGTTGTGTCAAAAAAGTCAATATTTCCACAGAAGGAATAATACTGGATTGTTCAACATTTTGTTAGCTTTATTTTGACAGACATTATCTAGTGTTACTTACGTTGCCCACGTTATCCTCAAACTTCAGGAGGGTCCCTAAGTCACCACATTGCTACCTCATGGCTAACCCAGTTTAGGGATTTGGTTAGAGATGATAAAAACAATCAAGATTTGTTAGCGTTCTGGTATTTACTGGTATTTACTCAGGACCAACGTACTAGTATTTACTCAGGACCAACGTACTGGTATTTACTCAGGACCAACGTACTAGTATTTACTCAAGACCAACGTACTGGTATTAACTCAGGACCAACGTACTAGTATTTACTCAGGACCAACGTTCTGGTATTTACTCAGGACCAACGTGCTAGTATTTACTCCTGACCAACGTGCTAGTATTTACTCAGGATCAACGTACTGGTATTTACTCCTGACCAACGTACTAGTATTAACTCAGGACCAGCGTGCTAGTATTTACTCAGGACCAACATACTGGTATTTACTCAGGATCAACGTACTGGTATTTACTCAGGACCAACGTGCTAGTATTTACTCAGGACCAACATACTGGTATTTACTCAGGATCAACGTACTGGTATTTACTCAGGACCAGCGCACTAGTATTAACTCAGGACCAACGTACTGGTATTTACTCCTGACCAACGTACTAGTATTATTTCAGGACCAACTTACTGGTATTTACTCAGGACCAGCGTACTGGTATTAACTCAGAACCAACGTACTGGTATTTACTCAAGAAAAAAAGTACTAGTATTAACTCAGGATCAACGTACTGGTATTTACTCAGGACCAGCGTACTAGTATTAACTCAGGACCAACATACTGGTATTTACTCAGGAGCAACGTACAAGTATTAATTCAGGACCAACGTGCTGGTATTTACTCAGAACCAACGTACTGGTATTTACTCAGGACCAGCGTACTAGTATTAACTCAGTCAGGATCAACGTACTGGTATTTACTCAGGATCAGCGTACTAGTAATAACTCAGGACCAACGTACTGGTATTTACTCAGGACCAACGTACTAGTATTTACTCAGGACCAGCGTACTAGTATTAACTCAGGACTAACGTACTGGTACTGTATTTACTCAGGACCAAAGTGCTGGTATTTACTCAGGACCGACGTAAAGATAACATTTAATATTTAAATGAAGTATCATTGTTTTGTAAATTTACTTTTTAAATTTATGTATTCATTCTTAATCTTATCTTTAAACCTTATAAAGTAACACATAACTCTAAAACATCCCCCCTTCCGACCATTCAATTAAAACGTGCTAGTCCGCCATGTACAACATAAGCAGCCCGAATTCTACCATGCATTAAGTTTATCAATGTCTTAATCTGAGCGAAATAAATATTCTTGTCCTTTTTAAATGCCTGTTTTTCAGATGCTGAGGTCGAATTTTCTCTAACTTGGCTTAGTATAGTAACCCTTGGACTTCCGGTCAAGGAACTGTCATTCATGCTTTTGAAACACATGAGCCCGAAAAGTCGTTATGTAGTGTATATTTGCATCTGTAGCTCTCCCTTTTCTTTATTTTGAAAATTTCCAACATAAGCAGTGAAAATGCGTGCTTTCAGTTACTTACAGGAAATACAGGCATCACATCCGGAAGAGAAAGAAGGATATTTTTTCCGTACTTTTAGTACAAGACTTATGATTAACAGATACAAAACCTTGAAAACCCAAAATATTGACAATAATTTTATTAAAAATGCTAATTTTTTATTTCTGTTCAAGGGGCTAAAAATCAACTTTTAATTCCGGTCATGGAATGAAAATCATTCAGCGTTAAATTAAATAACTGATTTGGCAAAGTAAAAGATGTCCTAACTTTTTTGGTACATAGTTATATCCCGTATATAATTTTCACCCCTAAAATTAGGGTGTTGCGTTTCTATTGACGGTGAGTAATTCATACTCGTGTCATGTACACAAAGTTTTATTTTTAAATTCCGAAAAAAAGTTTTAAAAATACTTAAATATAGAATCGTTAACAATATTTCAACACAATCCAAAATTCAACTCACTCAAAAAATTATTTTTTTTACGACTTCAAGGTATTAGTTCACCGGATTTGTTTGCAACCAATATAGGGATACACAAAGAATGTAGTGATTTGGTGAATCCGCCTTGATATGCCGCTAACGACAAGGATTCATCTCGCTTCGCGAGCCGACTCAAAAAGTAGTGTTATCTTTAGCTCATTAACCAGTTTAACAAATTCATGGACGAATGAAAGGATCTTGAATTTCGACTTTCTGTACAAGTCGGTCATAGGAATTACTTGTACTTAAATCACCTGGAAAACAATTTATAAATAAAATATATATTCAATGAAATGTCAAGTTACACACTTAATGCCGAAACGTTGTAAAATGTGTTTTTTTTACTCGTACATGCCTCTTGGTCCGATTCTAATCGCTAAAAATATACATTCGTTTTTCTTCTTGAAAAATAATTGTCCATAAATTGTTTCAACTTTTGTTAAATTATATCCCCAAAGTCTTTTTCTTTTAAAAAACATCAAAATTCAAAAGTTAAAAAAATAATTTTTGTTAGGTCACACAAAAAATAATCCTTTGTTGACATTGCGTGAAATCACCTTCGAAAAATTAAAGGATGTATTCACTTTAACAAAAGAATTGACCTATAGGAGAAAACAATTTCCGGAAAAAGTGACATCTAAATATTAATCTTTATTTGTTGTTTTTACCGTATATATATCTAAAATTTTCAAATTTTTATTTTATACCTAGAATTTATTATTTACAACTATACAATGAACATCCAAAGTTGGCTGAAACACCATTTTGTTCGTTAAAGCGTTGATTTTTGCATGGATTTTGGCCTAGAAGTCCTTCAGGGCAGGCCTGCCCCTTAATAAAATTGTGATATTTTGATAGGTTAGGATGAAAAGGAATAATTTCACATAGAATTTATTTAGAGGTATCCCGCCCTCGGGTCGAAATTCACAAAAAACCTACAAAAAATAAGGAAACCTGATTTTGATAATCTGCTTCAAATTTATACCTATAAATACCATAGTCAGACTAACTCAGTCTGATATGCCTACTTTTACACGTGTAAACAAACATTTTAAAGTTGGAACTGATGCACCTGTACCACTTTTAAAGTTTTTAATTTTCGCCTTTTCAAAGACTATTTTAATAGTGTTTATAGACGTGTATTTTCCTTGAATTATCTATCCTTTATGATGCCCTATTCTTGATATAGGAAACACTATAAAGAGATATCAAACCGTAAAAATCCAATGTACAGTTGTCAGACAGGCGGAACAAACCTCAGTATAGTATATTTTCTCCTAGGACAAGAATAACTCACTCTATGTTACTCAATACAGGTATTCTTGGCAGCATTGAGCTGCGATGAAAGTCAATTGTATATATTCCTTAGAATTTAATAACATTGATTTTGAGTACATATATCAGTGACTGTACTCCCTCGTATTTGATTTAGGCCTATATAATTTGACACATTAATGGCCTGTTTTATTATAGTCATGGATAAAATAGCCTAGACATAAAGAATATAATTTCAGAGGCAGTAACATTACCATTATGTACAATGCAAGTAAAGAAAAATATCAATTATTACATTTGGAGATAAAAAACTCAGAAAATCAATGTCAGGTTTCCTCCCACCTCTACTCAGTGAAATAAAGATTTGGGAAAAAAAACAAACTGTTAGATGTATTTAGCCTAATGTCATTAATCAGAACGGAAATCGACAAGGTTTTTGTACAGAAAAAAAACCAAGCCCGGTCCTATAGGTCAGATCCCGATCTATAATGAAGTGATCCGTTATCGCTTACATGTATAATGTACATGAAGAACAAACCCGAGCATTTTTTCCACAACAAAGTGTACATGGCCAATATTCTCCCTCGTTACTAAACTCCTTTTTTAAAAAATCTTTAAAAATATCTGATTTTCCTTTAATCTGTAAATATGCATATGAATATAAAAATTACTATGGATAATATTCAATTAATTTCTTAATTTTTAAAAGATATATCATGACAAGAGATTCTACTAATGGAAAAAATTAATCGGGTTTGAATTCTCTTTTGATAAATTAGATATAACCGATAAAAGTATTTTTTTCAAAGGTGACTTCAAAACAGATCTCTAACTTCCCGTCAGGAACTGCTGTTTGTCAACAAGGTTTTGGTCTATGTTTTCCATGCAAGAATTGTTGTAATAAACTATTAAATCAATCTTATAATTATTTTTTATATATTATCTGTGTAATGACATACTTTTATTGTTTAAGATAATATGTGCCTGTTTCTGATGAGCGGCTTTAATAATTTCCACATATGGAAT